TCTGCATAAAAATGTAAAGTTGCTTCATCCACATTTTGACCTAAACTGTTGATATAAATGGAGAATAATAATGGACCTAAAACAGAACTTTGGGGAACACCATTTGTAATGTATAAGCACTCACGTTACCCATTACTGCACACTGTTCTGATACAAATGTTTGTGTGTGTGTGTGTGTGTGTGTGTGTGTAGGTCACAAGGTGGGTGCCTGACCACATGGCCTCCCATTGTTTCAACTGTGACTGCGAGTTTTGGATAGCCAAGAGACGTCACCACTGCAGGTGGGGCTTCACCGAGGTTTTCTGACATTAATACACACAAAGAATCCTGAAATATCACATGTCGTCACAAATCAAAGGTAGAAGAGAAAGAAAACAAATATTTAACTTGGAACATTGTTTCTAAAGATAATAATGCAATTTGCACAATAGTTTTCACTCTGAATCGATTAAAAATATATTCTAACAATAATCTGTTAATAGATCATATCTATAACGTCTTTAGAGATTACCAGTTTCTAAAATGTCAATAACTTTTTAATTTAACAATGATTTAAAATAGAGATAATCAAGAAACATTTAAGAATCTGGGAGCAAAATAAGTAAAACATTTTTCTTTATTGACTAGTAAGTCCTTCTCATTCCTTCTAACCATTGTGCTTGTTGTCTCAACAAATGTGTTTTCCTAGTTAATACATCCTGATTAGTATATTCACTAAAAGCATGAACATTTGCCTTTGAGCACTTATTAGACACACGTCTCTCCTGGTAAGCCTCTGTTGCAGCACAATTCTTCCAAACTAGCAAGACACACGCAAGATCATTATTTATTTGCTCTGCTGAAAAACTAAAAAATACCCTGAAAATACAGGGGAAGGACAAAATGCATACTACAGTAGATGTAGTTGACTGATTATCTGCTGCGACTTTTCGTAGATGATTTTAAAAAATAAATCTCTTTCTGTGTTTATGAAAGATTAAATAAAGTTGTTGTAATACTCATTTCGGCCACAAGAGGCTGAGATGCACCACATACCTATGTTTTAAATTGGAATTAGAGCATGTTTTTTTCCCTTTATTACTTAAAGTGCTGACACACTATATGTACCTTGTTGTTAAAGTGCATGGAACACTCTATAATAACCTGCTTTAATCTATTTTGTATCTGTACAGTTGTAAAACAGTTGTACAGTAAACAGTTATATTCTTGTTTCTAAAGTCTTACATTTTTGCTGCTGTTATAATACAGCGCACAGAACTTTAATGATCTAACTTCCTGTGTGCTCTCCCTCTTCAGGAACTGCGGCAATGTGTTCTGTAAAGACTGCTGCCACCTGAAGCTGCCCATCCCCGACCAGCAGCTTTATGACCCGGTGTTGGTGTGCAACATCTGCTACGACCTGCTCCTGGTGTGCCGCACCCGCGAGATCCGCAGCCAGCAGCTGAAGAAGGCCATCGCCACAGCCTCCAGCTGAGAGAAGCGTCGTTTAGCCTGGCCCGCCTCGGCTCTGTCCTGCTCCTTTTGGACTGATGAGCTGAGCGCCCCGTTGTCACCGCAACCTGCCGTGGTTCTGGCTGCTGGGGGGAGGATGTTGAGGAGGAACTGTTACTCTTTGATAGGTTTGGGAGAAGAGATGCACTATGAGACTGTCCTGAGAGGCGGAAGAAAGGAAAGGGGAAGTGTGAGATTGAGGCGTGTCAGCAGGGGGGAAACCCTTCTGATCAGAGACATTTTCAGGCCTGAGCCCTGCAGCGTCCAGCGGCCTCCACACGGCTCCGCCCCCTCCTGGAGCCCCGTACGAGGCTCTCCTCCCACCTGTCCACCCCTCTTTAGTACCAAACACCTGCACCCTCCTTAAAGACACTGTCTCGCACTTCAGAGGACAATCGCTCACCCTTCCTACGTGTCGGGGGACTCCGAAGCCTTTACCTGTACTACTGGAGGCTTTCAACTTTAAAAGAAAATAATTGCTGCTACAGTATTTAAAAGTCTAATTTTGTATTCTTATTTTTGTGCACTACTAGCTGTCGTGTGTTGGAGGGAATTTGAGACCAAACTTGAGCAAAAGGGAGAAATCTGCTGTTTACTTTGTCATTGCATCTTTTTTTCTTGGAGCTTGAATGTAATATGTAACGGATAACTGGATTGAGTTTTTGTGCATTGGTGGATCGTATTTGTGTTTCATTGCTGCAATGTGTTTTCAAGATGATGTATATGCACAGTCAATGTGGTTCTGTCTTTATCGATGCTTTTCTCCAGTATAGCCATGCTGTGACATTCTGAGGGATGTGCGTGGACCGAGCGATGCAGTGATGCGTGTTTTGTTTGTTTAATGGGACGTGTGCTTGATGTGCTAAGAGGAAGAGAACACAATAACGATTGGAGACAGCAGATTTCTGTAACGTCTTCTTCTGATGTGGTGAAATGGCATTTGAAGGTACTGCAATGTGACAGAGGGAAGGTTTTCCTGCTGAGGTGTTTGTGAATGAATTAGTAATGTCCACATGAAGCTTGACGTCACCTGACTGATGACTCCTCAGAGTGTTAACTGGCAGTAAAGACTGAACAAAGTGCTAGGAGTTTCTTGTTCTTTACAGGGGAGTTTGGCCACAGTCTCCTTTAAATAATGTGTTTGTGTCTACTGTTTGTTGAGACAATAGTGCCATATTTTGTTTTGTTTTGTTTAAAGCCTTTTTCTTTCCTATGGATGGCAGCAGGTTTCTAATTGGCCACATTTCTGTATGTTTTATTGGTACAGATAGTTACCTACTTGATAACACTGAGAAAGCTAAATATTAACAGATGGTGCGCTTTGATGAGAGGCTAACGTTTCAATAGATGATGGGATGTCACTGAACTACTTAACCTGTGAGGTTATCCATTGTCTAATATTTGAGGGTTTTTTCCACACGGTGTTCATGAAGTCGAAATGTCTAAGAGGAATTCAGAAATGTAACATACATAGTTATCTGATCCGTAGTGGTGGCTCAAACCTGTCACTTAATGAATAATTGTTGTAAAGAAATGCACTGTAAAAGATAAATCCCATGGGTTAAAATAAAAGATTATATCATGCATATGTCTCTCAGCTTGATGATTTGCATGAAGCTCTGGAAATGGGTCAAGATGATCTATAGGGGAGTGGGTTTAAACTCTTCTTTGGTCCAAAGTTATAAGACCAAAGTGTTATTGCCAGCAAGTCAGGTGTAAAATAAATAATAATTACAAAATCAGAAGGAAAATGACACTTAGTATTGCACTTCTCAAAACCCACTTACAAAAGTTTTAACAGATCAAAATAAAATATAACTACCACATTTATTTTTTAATTTAGTAACAGTTGTGGAAGAATATGTTTGCTGACCTCAGTCTTCTGGTTAGGGGAGTTCAACAGCTCCCCCACCACATTGTTTTACTATTAAAGAGATCAAGCGCCATTGTTATTCAGTCATGTGTGTCGAAAAAAGTAATATTATTTAATGTCGAAAAAAATTCACAATTGTATCTATAAAAGAAAGTAATGCCATTGTTGTATGATGAAAAAACTAATTTACAGTCTGTTACGGCCCCAGAGCCTGTGGCCGTTACGGCCGGTCCACACGGTGGCGTGCGTTGAAGCTTCAAGCTTTAATGATTCCCCTCATTATGTCCCCATAAGGGGGGCGGGTCCCCACACGTGACTGTGTAAACAGATTTAGGTCCCCACAAGGATGGTAATGCTAGGCCACACATAACAAACACACACACACACACAGACCTCTAGACACTTCGAACTGCCCGATTATTCCCCCTATTACTCGTTTTATGAAGGAGATATCCGGTCACCAGGGCGCATGATGTGTAAAACTGAAAAGGATATGACATTGTTTTTGTTATGTAATTTAGGTTAACTTCCTGTTTTATTTAGATGCTTTTATTTTGAAGGTGAGTTTACGCTGTTTACAGGAAGTTGTTGTTGCTATGGAAACGTGATGACGGAGTGTGTGGTTCGGGTGCCATCGTGTGGCCTTCTGTAGGCATCGTACTTGCTTCGGCCGTTGACCAAGTTCGGGGCCATCTTCGTGCGAAATTCACAATTCCATATTCGTGTGTCCATCTGGTGTCAATTTGGGGACAGTGTGACGCGGGCTTTAGGGTTATAACTGACTGTGTTTGTGTTTAAGTCACATGTTAGATTGAGTATAAATGTAAGTCAATGGTTAGCGGCACCACATTTTCCTGCTTTGGTGTCCTTTTAGCTCTTGATTCTTTCAAAAATAAAGCTGATTTTAATATATATATTTCTTCAAATCTCATTTGTCGTTTTTGGCGTTCCGCTCCGAGGGAATTGACACCAGCTGAAGTAACTGACGTAATCTTGAAAGGAATACGGCTCAGATATTTTACATTTAATTTAGCTGCAATAAACCATAAAGAACAACAAGAAATGTGCAGATAAATTAGCTTTAACTAAGCCTGACCAATGTAAGAACTGGTGAAATTAAAAAGGGGCTACGCTCTTTGTTGGAGCTATACATTGCTTCATATCATTTAAAGGGCCCATGTCATGCTTTTCTGGTTATCACCCGTCCCCTTGTGTGTTATGAAGGTTGTTCTGCATGTAAACGGTCTGCAG